TATAATGTACATGTATTTTATAAAAAAAGTTAAAAAATAAAACAACTTTTTTTATGATTTCTGTAGCTATCAAAAGTATACATTTGATAAATATTGATTGTATGTATGTATAAAAATCATATTATATACAACATGTTAATTATTTTGTGCTATGTTTTTTTAAAAATGATAATATCTGTTTTATATTCGAAGTAAAAAAATTGATACGGCTCTTATGTGAAAAATACAATTTAAATTCTTCAGGCCAGTAAGAATCAAACGCGCAGATAATATATATACAGGGTATCCGGAGTCGTCGCATCATCCATCGTGTGCAAATAGAGCGGATTAAACTGAGTAGGAAAGTCCTTTACCATCCTGTCATTTTCGTAATAATTATTGAGAAATTAATTAAAGAAGGTTGATCAATTCGTAAGTATAAGCGCGCAGTAAAAAGGGACAACCCATTGATGTGTGGTTGCTAGGACGCGAGAGTCCATTGTTATGTACCGCTTGTACATAACTGTTGTCATTTGTAGAGCGCTCCTCCCAAAACTTCGTCGCGCGTCTAGCGACCGCATACTTTTGTCTCTTCTTGCTGTGCGCTTATACCCGCGTGAATTGGTCAATCTTTTTTAATTAATTTTTCAATAATTATTACAAAAATCGCAAAATGGTAAAGGACTTTCCTACTCGGTTTAACCCGCTCTATCTGCACATTAGAGTGGGGCGATTATTATCAAACACCCTACCGTCTCGCGGCTGAGCGATAAACGCGGCCGCCGACTCGTTTTCTCCGTCGCGCGGGTGTAAATTGCGCCGACGAACAGGAGCTAATTCGCGCAACGGGAATGAATTATTCATACGAAAAAAAATCATAAACGAAATTAATATTAAGCTCGAAATCTCAATTAATGATGCCTCTTTGGAGGTAACGGTACGATTCTCGCAATTATTCGACTGGCGCGGCCCTTTAGCCCGCGTTTTTCGATCGGAGAGGTACCCGGCGGACGCGCGCGAGACGGCAACGTCACAACATATATATATACAGGATGACACGCAACAAACGCCTATTAAGTACATATAGCGTTATTCCTTACCAAAAACTGAGTCGAAAAGTCCTGAATCATTTTTTTTGTAACGCTTAATAAAGGAGTTATCATCGAGTAAAGTCTGACCAATCAGCGCCGACCTTTAGCCGGGCGCACGTCGATGAGCTACGCGTCTAGTAGTGTGCGTGAGCGCCCGCCGCTAGAGTCCTATATAATCAGAGAAGCGACATCGTTACCCCCTCCATGCTTCCCATGATCGCCATGTTGGGCCCGCAGCTATCCATTTGTAATCTAAAATATCTTAAAAATGTCTCAGAGATGTGTAAAATGTTTTTTTTTAAATAACATTACAAATATACTTTTTTCTCGCTTACGGTACGCCGGTTGCGATTAGTTTGCATGTACGATTCACTACGTGCAAACTAACCGCCAACATAGGGCGCGTTCCACTTAACGATCGCAATGCTCGCGAGCATTATCTGTCTTTGCTTAACTTCCGATGAACAACAAAGATGAAATGATACCGTGAGCGTTGCGGTCGTTAAGTGGAACGGGCCCGTGGCGGTCAGCCAATCAGCAAGCGGAACGCCATTGTCGCTTCTCTGATTATATAGAACTCTACCCGCCGCTACGGCGGCGGCGGCGCACGCCAGGCGCGCGGCTTACTAACGTTCGTCCGACTAAAGGTCGGTGCTGATTGGCCAGATTTTACTCAATAATAAC